CAACTCATTTCATCTCAGACTCCTTTGGCTCAAATCTCTCAATTCGATCAACTTCTTCGTCCGCCTACACCTTCCTCATCCACTTTACCTACCTCTCAATCTGATACTACGCTTCAAAACCCCTCCTCAAACTCAACCCATGCTTCTAAACAACTCGAACCATCAGAAACTGACGTGTCCAAGCGCATAGCTGAACCAGAACGTCATCTTCAAACAAACACCTCTCGGCTTCCAAGTCGATCACCTCACAACCTTAATAACAATGTCGAGGAAACATGTGCGATGAATCCAGACCAAGGCCCAACAAAGCGTAGGAAGTCAAAGACATCTGTAGTAAGGAAAGGCAAAAGTCCCGAAAGAGTTCGGATCACATTATCTGATGAACCCCACCGTCTCAAGTCAAACCGTCAACTCCTTCGTGAGCTTAGAACTACGATCACCAAATCAGCTCCTCAATCTTCTTCCTCTCGTCCTACTAGCCCATCTTCCTCGTCCAATACATTGGACAATCGCGCCATGAGTGACCTGATGTTGACCATCATCAGAGAGCTTTCTTCTCGCTTGGAACAAACGAAACACGAATTGGCCAACAGTCAACTTGATACGAAAGCTCTCAAATCACTTCTAGTTGATAGTTATTCAGTAGGATTGGGCGAAATTGAAAGATGCTTAGTTCGCTCCAAGTTTGATGCATTTCCAAATCCTTCTTCAGCTCAGGATTCTGTCAAACCCCCACCAACAACATCTCCTTGGACACTCGAATTGACCGGTCATCGGAGTCGTCATCGGGAGCGTGAATCGGACCAAGACTATGCCTCTACTCCATCGACCCGAGATGCGACTGGTCTCTCCAGCAACTTAGATTTAGAAGACTTACGAGAAGCTATGTTTGATAATCCTTCCTATGACACTGCCTCTCTATCTAGCTGTCCATCACAATCATTAATCAACTCCCCTACATCATTTGCTGGCCAACTCAATGCCTCTAATCGTAGCTCTCGTTCTCAAGGAAAACCATCCAAAACTGGTATGATTGGCTCTCGACTTTTCAAATCCGGTTTTGGTCGAGTCTCCAAGCCTGTCACCTCAACACCGACTCTACCCTCAGGCGGATCACTTCTCCCACCTCACTCCATCACAGATAACGAAACTTGTCAAAAGAAGTTGTCTCAACCCAACGATCCAATCAAAGGCCAGACCAAGAGGAAAGACTCGATTGGAAGCAGTCTCAGCGGTGTCTCGAGTCAATACAATCATTCTGGGGCGAGTGCGGGCGGGAGCTGGGGCTTTCATGGTTGGAGATGGAGCAACAAGACTCAGAGCAATACCAGCAAGGTTGCTTCTACCTTTGGTACAGACGCGGATGATGATGAGGAGAGCGAAATTGATATCGAACGACGGTGTCAGACCCGACTAGTAGAAGACAGCTCACGCGAAGGCATCAGCAAAGTTGCGGTTGCAGGGATGTCAGAAGGGAAGAGTGGGGCTGAGGGCAAGGGTAGGTTGCCACATCACAGCGACCACAGACTGACGGAGGGGCAAGATCGGAAGGACCTCAGCTCACACCAGGTACAGTTGGGAAGTAGTTCTCTTGTGTCAGCTGGTGGCCACGGACTGCTTGCCAATTTCTTCGAAACCGTTACTCGAAGGTCTGTCTTGTCTTCAATCGACCTGATAACAATCTCTACAGAGTATCCGCGCTTTTCGAACTAAGTGAATCACTTTTGCTGACTTTTCTTTCGCCTGATTTTTAGAAGGTCTGCTAGCTCGAATCGAGATCTTCAAGCTCGCGATAGTCGTAAAGTCGAGCTGAAAGGCAGCACGGACCAAGATATACTCAAAACCGAACCCAATGTCCCCATCTCTCCCCCGACAGACATGGCGTGCCCGGGGCCATCCTCTTCAGGTACTCACTCTTTCAACTCATTACCAGCCCAACCTAGTTCGCCAACACAACTTTCCAGAGAATTACAACAAGTGGATCCAAGCCAAAGCTCCTCAAGTTCTCATTACGCACAAGCGGCTACACCAACCAGCACAGATACCGACTTTCTCTCGAACAGTGGCCACAACAATCCTTCTAATAGATCCTCTTGCGGTTCCGTCTTGTCATCTTCCATCAATAGCTTCTCCTTACCCGCGGTACCCTTCCTCCCTGATCCACACGTCACACAATCGGAAGAAATGATAGAACGTCTTGCTTCAAGCCGTAGCGCCAGCGATGTCAGCTCTTTAGCTGTTTCCCGAGTCTTGAGTGAAGTCCCAGCCCCGCCCCCTACAGTCAACACGGCCGGTGCTGTGCCTGCCTTCGTCCTCGAAACATCATCTCCTGCAGCTGCCCTCCTCTTGTCCCCCTCTTCGCACACCAGTAGAAGGACTTCGCTCACTGCTGCCAAATCGCCAATTTCCCACATCTTCCCGACTTCCAAATGTCCCCCTACTCTTTCCACCCAGGCAGATTCGATTTTGCCTTCAGAACCCCCCTTTTCTCACGCATCACCTCCGAGGATTCATCAATCACGCGATCCAACCTATGCCGCATCCGCCGCGTCTTTCAGTCCATTACTTGCAAGTGATCGTCATCGGAGCAGAACCTCTTCATCAAATCCGCTGTCATATACAGCTGAGCAAGGCCCAAGCGATGGAGCTATGTATGATGTCTCATCTGTATCAGAATCTCGGTCTTCTAGCGTATTGTTAGATGTCAATCTCTCAAAAACGACTACTGGCAGCATTTCTTCTTTGAGCATTCAAGAACCCACTCAGTCGGATTGTGGTCATCAAAGTACGGCATCTGACGAGCCTGAGGTAGCAGACAAAGATGAGACAGTGACAACCGGTAAATTAGTTCCTCACTCCGGTTTGTTAGCCTCTGACGATGTCACGGGTATTGCAGGTCCGGAAATTGACAGCAAACCCTTGTTGTCTCGGTTCCCTTCAGCTATTCATCTCCCGACGCATTCCGTCCGTCCTGGCACACCGGCTAAAAAGTCTCAACCTCAATCTAAACTCATTGCACATGTGATGACCAAAGGCTATCTATCAACGGCAAAAGCCACGCTAGATACCGACTCTAGTGGCTCCTCCAATACCTCGGCCAAAGTATCAACCATAGACCCGCTGAAAACTTTTCCACCAAATGTAACGATCTTCCCAACCCCGGCGCTCAGCCATCTGGCTTCGACCTCCACTCGTCTCTCCTCTCAAAATTCTTTCTTGAATCTTCATGGACCCGCACAGCAATCTTCATCGACCAGTCCCGGTATGGTGGATCAACTTCAGCACGTTACGAAAAGCAACATTGCCCATCAACCTTTGACTAATCCCAGGGTAATAGACAAACTTGGTCATATCGTTCTTCCATCCACATCAAATACTAACAACAGCACGATGGAGTTGAGTACCTTTCTCAGTACAAAATCTAACCCGCCCCCATTTTCGGCCTTCAACCGTCAAGCTCTAAGCCCTCTTTGGAAAGGGGTTGACGATAACGACGAGCAACCGATTACGGACCGTTTTGGTTTTGTGGTTGACGCCAAGTACGGGATGCGACTGATGAGAGAGTCACGTAACAAGAAGAAGCGACATGTTAAAGATGCCAAAATATCCATACCCAATGTAGTAGGCCAAGAGTCTTTGATAAGTGACTTGAAGGACGCCCAACAGCCACTCCCGATCAAAATCGATGTCGAGTCGAGTTCCAAAGCCATGGCAGCTACTGAAGTGTCTTCTGAATTGGCAGTCAATCCGGAGCCAGCTAGCGATAAGGTGGGTGAATGTGATGATGCTGACTTACAAGGAGAGTCGGAAGATCAAGAACCAATAGTGACTACAGCTTTACCTATCAAGTCTCAAAACGATGTAGAAGCCGAATTAGCATCTCTACGCGAGTCCCTCGGCCTACCGCCAGCAACGTCAAAGCCGAATCCAGGGAACTCTCCGGAGAAAGTGAATCATCTCATTATCGATTCCAGCAGTAGTTCAAAAGACGAAACTCCCAATGAAAGCATCAGGAGGCTTCTCTCACAACTCAATGAGATGCAGGAGGCATTAGAACGGAATCAATTGATTGAGTGGAACGGGTTTATCTCTAAGCGGAAGGCCAGATCTATCAAGACCTTGACGTCAGTAAGTCATCATCATCACAGCAGCGCTTCGATCACGACTGGACCACCTGGCGAAGTGAGTTCCATGCTCCGCGCGGCAACCGGCGTGAAGGGCACATCAGATCCCGTTTCACCGGAATCGGTGGGCGCGTTCTTAGGGTTCAGGAAGCCATCAGAAACTACCACTACTGCGACAGCAGGAGTGAAGTCACCCGCCATGGGTTCCAGTGCAATGAGCTCGAGTCCAAATACACACAATGCAAGCTCGATCAACGGGTTGGCCAACGAAGCGGCACGAAAAGTCTCGGAAAGAGATTTAATGATTTGCCATGACGAAAACTTGATCGGAATTGCCTCTATGGGTCTCAGTCAGGACCATAAATCAGTCAAAGAAGATTGGAAAGAGTTCAGAGGCTTAGTGACGAAAGGTGTCCCCATCAGTCTTCGACCGAAGATTTGGCTCGAGTGCTCAGGCGCGAACGAGATGAAGGAACCAGGTTATTATTATGATTTGCTCGATTGTCATAAAGATGAGAAAGGGATGGCTCTCAATCAGATTGAATGTGATGTGACACGGTGAGTACTGATTGCCTACACAATGATTAAGGTTGCAAGTCTTATTGATGCTGTGATCAAACTGATGCGCAGGACATTGCCCACGAATGTCTATTTTGGAGGGGATGGGCCGGGGGTTAAGAAGTTGAGGAGGGTGCTAGCAGCGATGTCATGGCACAACCCGGTGGTAGGATATTGCCAGGTAAGCTATCAATGTTTTGGCAGCAGACGAGGTATGATATTCATTTTTACCATTACTTGGTTTGATCGCTCTAGGGTATGAACATGGTCGCCGCTACACTATTACTCACTATCCCTAATGAAGAGGACGCGTTTTGGATCTTGGTATGCATTGTAGATGTGAGTACAAAAGAGTAATTTGTTTTGGGTCGAACATGACAGTTAACAAACAAAATGATTTTACTTGTGAGGTGCTTTCAGAAGATTTTGCCGTCAGAATATTATACATCTCATCTTCTCAGCTCTCAGGCCGATCAAAGGGTTCTTAAGGATCTTGTTGAAAAGTATTTACCAGAACTTTGGGAGCACTTTGAAGGAATGGAGGTCGAATTAGCAGCAATCACGTGAGTGCGACGAAGTGTGGATTGGAAGGGCAAGACGCTGACAAGGAGAGTTTAACAGATTTGGTTGGTTTTTGTCACTGTTTGCGGATGCACTGCCGATTCAGACGTTGTTGTAAGTGATCCATTCAGATTCGGTGAAAGATCAATGCTGAGTAATTGTGAATGTGGCTATTACAGACGAGTGTTTGATTTGTTTCTGATAGATGGAAGTCTGATTTTGTTTCGAGTGGCAATGGCTCTACTGAAGATGCATCGAGAAGAGATCTTATCCCATGACTCACCAGCCTCACTTTATGCTTACATGCGAGGCCGAATGACGCTCAGTACTCATCACGCTGATAGGTTGATCAGAGTAGCAGTAGAAGAATTTGGGGAAGTGAAGAATAAGGAGATCACTAGGTTAAGAGAGAAATATGTAACGGAATTGAAGAAGGAGATGGGATTAGATGAATTTCAGTGACGGATAAACATAATATACGTATGAGTTTGATTATAATAGAAGAATATGACATTCATGCATTTATCGAGATTTGTTATACATAAAGACCAAATCCAACATGTCAATAGGCAGCGCTCTGATTGATCTCGACTTTTGACTCTTAAAAGAATTCACCCAGGCAAAGCATTAGAGAACAGCCTTTGTGGATTGCCCAGAACGAAATGATCAAATTAAAGAGTGAGAAATGCATACCCAAGTTGAGATTTTGATCGGACTGGACTGATAAGTTTGACCGAGTTGAGAAATATTTAATTTATGATGAAGATTGAATAGTAAGAAATCCAAAAGATACTTGATTGAGAAATAAGAACTTTAATTGATCAACTTCGGTTGGAATCTGATCAATTTCTCTTTCTCTTTCACATTCACATTCACATCATCCTTGATTGATATCTTTATTGCTTTATACGTCCCCTTTTAGATTTTATTTTATTTGTATCTTATCTTTAAATTCAGAATTCCTCACTTCCTTCCTTCGTTTAAAATACTCGATCCTCTCGCACCTTGCCCTCTTTTACACATTGCAACTCAGACTTTGGCCCTACAAGCATTCACTTTCCTTTATTTCATAGACATTCTTTCAGATATCATCAACATACTTTCACAATCATTCAAGACTTGCCATTTATTTACCCTCTAGAACAATTTATCAATAGGATCCTTACACTTCCACCCAAGCATTCAATAAACTTCACCCACCTCGTCACCGCATCTGAGATTTCCACAGCCACAGATCTACTTGCTGTACCCAATTCTTTTTCATTCTATTCCAACTTCTTCCGTTTCTTTTTTCAATGGAAGAAATACACAAAAGAAGATTCAATGGTAATAACCTACAACAGAAATCATTGTATGCTAAACAAATCAATGAAAATCGGACTTCATCTATTGCCAAATCTCCATCTCGTCGTCAAGGAGGGCAATCAAGAAGACCAAGATTGTCATCAATCGGAGCGTTGGATGTTAAGCAGGATCATTCAAATTCGGCTGCCACCAATTCGATCACCACAAGGAACATGAACTTACTAGAAAGCTATCATGACCTCAAACATCAAGATAACTCAGTTAGTATAGCATTCATTGATCTCATTGATCTCAATTTGGCAGACTAACTCACCCCTTGCTTACTCGCTGATTCCTCATCACTTCACTCTGCCGATCTCTTGTTGGGATTTTTCTTTTCTGCTTTGGTACTCTAGAATTCCATCATTTCCGCCATGCCACCATCGCCATCTTCAACGGGTGCAATCGATGCCGCACATTCACCTGATGCAGCAATACTTCAGTTCTCGTCGCCCGCCTCTCGTCGAACCTCTTCAGCATCAGATCCGGACAGCGATTCAGACCTCAGCATAGGTAAGTCAATTATTCTCATAACATTGTAGTTTTTAAGTGACCGTCATTGATCTTTTGAAGTGACACCTTTTTCATTTTTTTCATTCATCTTCAGATGTGCATGCCTTCATGGCCAACGTTCATCTGGCTGTCTCCAAGGCAGCTCAGCAGCAACGTCAGCAGGCTGACAAACCAACTTCTCTCATCAAATCGACTTCATCACCCTTTGTTACCTCATCGCCCACGTTAAACTTGATTTCAGCTGCGGATTCAAATTCTCCTTCGGCTTCAGCCCGACTTGGTACGATCCATATTGAGCCATTTTCCATGTCCGCCCCAGCTACTCAGACGGATTCCGATCAGCGACATGCAGGCCTGGAACCACCCCTCTCTGCCTTTTCTGTCAGCCCGTCTTCGGCATTGAGCTCTTCAGCCTTTTCGCCTCTTCTCCCCGGGTCTTGGCCTAGGTCACAGGTCTCGATTGTAACTTCTCCTGAAGTGGCTCCGATGCACGACCAAGATTCATTCTCTACGCAATCTCCCGAATCTCAGCCTCTGAGCTTGATGAGCCTACCGAATCGTGCTCTAAATCGACGATCTCTTTCACTCGGTGGCATTCCATTGGACTTGCAGGCTTCCCTCGCGCATCTGACAACCCCTGAGCATTCGTCTATCCAACATACGCATTCGAATTCATCTTCTTGCGAGTCTAGTCGTCAATTTACACAAAGTCCCACTGAGAGTCAAGAGCACATGAACGAGTTTGACCTCAAACTCGAAATCTTACATCGCGCCATTGAGCAAGGTGATCTTGCGAGTCTTGATCTGTCCACTCTCATTCAGTGGGATGACGAACCTGCAACCCAAAATTTGAAACATCGCCCTTCTATCCCCACTTTGAATACTCGACAGTCATCCACCCCTATCACACTTACCTCTTCTATTGTGTATTCATCCGCTCCCCTCACTGCTGAAGAGCCGCTCTCACACACTGCTAGTACCAACATCAACACCAACTTTTCAAGACGACTGGACCGCGCTTCATCGCACCATACCAAATCTTCTAGTGTATCCAATCCAATCAATCTGACTACATCCATCAGGTCTCTCTCAATACCCTCCGGGTTTCCCATCGAAAATCAAACAATTAAACGTTCACTTCACACTCCACTGATGTCTGAAACTGTCAACCTGGACGATGAATGTGAGAACTTGTCGTTCGAAACAGAAGATCTGACCAGGGATTCGATTGATGATCTATATGGATCCTTTGACGCTGTTCACCCTCCTCAAGCTTCCCCTTATCGAACCACATCTGCGAGCACCTCACGAACTGATATGACCGGTCACTTTCCCTCTCAGCAAAATCGCGCCAATAGCCTTCATCCACATCAAACACCGCCCATTGCTGGAAGGTCTCGACAAAATACCCTCTTCATCACTCCTTTGGCTGATCCCGAATGTCAAACAAATTTCGATGGTCATAACAATAGCACACAAAGCAGAATCCACGGTGTTGTGTCAAATGGTAGCAATCACGCCGCTGGGCATGATCAAAACATCTCCACTGTGCACGCACCCACATCTCCTGTTCGCTGCAGTCATCCCAATGGACCTTGGGAGGATAATTGGTCTACGAAGCCTTCACAACCACCTCATAACACTTCCACTCAGTCGACTCCTTCCACAATCAACGAACGATTGAAGAAGTTTGGACGGAAATTTGGCCTGAATGGCGCCACGAGTAGTAATTCGAAAGGCCACCAATCTACTGATCCACATTACCAGCGAACGTCCCGCAGCTTTTCAACAGCTTCTCAATCTTCACAGTTATCCCCTGAACATCATCAGCAACATACATCAATCTCACATCATCGTTCAAATCAGCAGCCGCGTCGCTCGCCTAGTATTATAGCCCGAAATTACGTGCGAGACATCTTACCTGGTTTCAACCCTGCTAATCATTCTCGCCCTAATACCAGGAGTGGTAGTATCACTGATTCTATCCTTAGCCATCGGTGGGACGCATCCTCTCCCCCACCCTCTCAACCGCGTAAGTCGAAAGACTTCACCGCCAACACTCGAGGCCAGACTCCGAGAGATGATTTGCAATTCTATGCGGAACAGGTGGAAAGCCTAACGATGCCATTGTCTGCAAAAGCCGATTCTCCACGATTCTCCAGCGAAGCTGGCATACAAATGCCAGGCAGTTTCTCATCAGGATCAGCAGCGATGGACACCCAAAGCCTCAGTAGAGCAGATAGCGGTCGGGGGGACGGTGATGCTCAAAGCGAGACTGATGTTTTTTGTCTTCAAAGTAGTACCAACTCACATCCTCGTCAACCAGCTGAGAAAGTCGCTGATGCAATGAGACTGGATCAGATCTTGAAGCAGCATCAAGCATCGGAGAAACAGTATATGCATAAACTTACTCAGAACGTAGCTCGGCGAACACGTTACTCATCTGATGCTGATCTCAAGTAATCCTGGTGTATTCATGGCAAAGGTAGTTTGAACAAAGTTATATGTGAATTGGATTGATTGTGGATGTTATGTTGCGTGCGTGCATAGATTTGTTTAATACTGTATAGGATGACTTCTGAGTCAGAGACGAGATTCTGTTTCGAAACCAATATCATATCACAAGACATCAAAAAAGATGTTGTAAATTAATTTTCAGGGGCTTATTCATATGCTATACCTAATTCTGTTGTTCCTTTGAATGATTAATAGTTTTTATTTCTTCATTGTTCTTTCGAGTTTGACAATGTGGACACTTTATTCCGTATTGTAATTTTTTATTGGAAGAACACTTTGACAGGGCGAAAGAATTTTTCACATAATGTTGGCACTGACCATGTGAGATTGAGCCGACTCTTGCGTGTACCGTTGACGCGCCTCCTTGACACTGCGCTCTACTTGCAATTCATACTGACACCTTCTTGACTGTTCAACTAAGAAAGACAACATTTGACAATGAGCCCAAACACCGCCTGCCCCAAGCCATATTACACAGAGCACCTTCCAAGCAGCGGGTATTTGGAGTGGCACAGTTATATCTAAGCTGGTTGATCATTGATTATATTTTGTTACTTATGTGAATGATCTAGTGTCTCTTGAGCTAATCGGAGGAAGGCAAGTCTGTCGCTCTCAAAAGGTCACCTTGCTCTCTTTCAAAGGTGAAACTTGAGTGGCAAACTGATATGGTTCTCTCCAACCCTTTATTCTTCATCTTCGAGCTTGTCTGACATCTTGCATTTACCTCGCGCTATTTGCCAACAAGTAGAACTACATGATTCTAATTCTATCAAAAATATACCAAACTGAGTGATCGCATGGATGGAAAAAATCAAGTAAGTGTCAATCTTTTTTGACTTTTGCAAGAGATTCACAAGCTTTATGGAATTTGTAGCGTCAAATCTGAATGTGCCTATATGTATTATTTCACGAACCTCAGTCTGTAGTCTGAACGAACTCTTCTTTTGAAGTTATCAAATGCGTAAGAGCATCAGCACCGGGCCTTGTAAAAAAAGGCCCGATTCGTTCCCTGTATGACACCTAGTTGACAGGCGAGGTGGTGTATTTCTAATTTCCCAGTACTTGGTAATTTTTTGGCGAAACCGAGGCTTTGCAAAAGCTAGAAAGTCCATTTGATACATCGCCCAAGCGGGCTTGATATGTGATATGTTGACATCATATCAATCGTGGTTGGTGTCCTATTAACCGAGTGGAATACGGTGCATAGATGATACAAAAAGAGAAGGCTGGAAAATGAAATATGAGAATTGATATTTGAGAATAGCGCGTAGAACCGAGGATAGTTCTCAATGAAGTTTTAGAGGAATGAGGTAGCAGCGCCAAAGTCTGGTAGAACCAAATTACATAGAGTCGATGTTTTCGCCCCCTTGTGTAATTGACCGCTTCATCCCTTTTCCCTCTCTTTCACTTCATCCATCCATCATCCATCTAACTATACAGCATACTCTACTATCAATTGATTTCGTATTTTCCCGACTTTTCGATTTCCCGCCCACCCTCACCTATATTTGTTTTTTTTATTCTTCAAAGTTTTTTAAAAAAAAAAAAAAAAAAAGTTATATTTCTCTTTTTGATCACCGAACATTTCATATTCCTGTCAAAAAAAAAAAAAAAAAAAAATCATCAACACATATTTATTATTCAAGTACTTTTTCACTTCAGTTTCGTTTATTTATTTCCTTTGTCTTAAACCTTTATGCCTTAGTTACATCTCACATTATATGTTCTGCTTTTTGTATTTCAGTTATACTCGTGTTATATTTTGTAGGAAGTGTCTTTACGTTGTGTGTTTACTGGCCTCAGGCCACCCCATAGGGGCTGATGTTTTTCTGTTATCTGTCACACTTTCCGTTCCAGATTCTTGTCTAGTTTCTCACGGACGTAATACATTTTCGTTCGCGCTACCGCTTCGCGGTCGCGCTCCGCGTACATCAAACAGCTGTATAAGCTCCGTCCTTTTCAGATGCCATCTCAATATCATTCGATAACCTATTCCAGGACCCTGGAATGCCCCTACCGAGGTATCTGTCGAAAACGTAGCAGAAAATCTCCGGTCTTCATTCTTTTCGGGCCGGATTGCTACGTTTTTGGTCAGATGCCTACACCGGTTTTCCATTTTTGGAGGCCAGATTGCTACGTTTCTGGTCAGATACCTTCATACAACGGGTTTCTTATAAACAATCAACAAAAAGCGCCATTTGATCCTTTGCACAGAGCCAACAAAACAATTGAAGCTATTACAACAGGAACGAAGAGACAAAATTGAAGAAAACAATCACGGGTTATTTTTTCCTTTCCCCTTTGGCTGCCCACGAGATTTTTTATTGGATGTAAGAAGGCGAATGCGTTCTTTTTCAAATGCATTCAAATATGCAGGTATGTTTAGATTAGTAAGCATTTGACAAATCACTTTAGGTAGTGAAAAGCATCCGTCTGCAAATTCCACTATGTTGGACCCGCTTGAAGGCTTGAAAACGTAGACTACACTTGTAGCCTCAAGGTGACCAAAAGTCCATTGACTTTTTGGTGATTTTGGTGGGGCAGTGCTTGCAATTGGATAATCGGGGTTGAAATACAATATCTGAGTGGATATGTATGAAAGTCCGCTGAGAGTTGTGGCTGATTTGACCCATGCATGATTGCCAGAGCCGGACATGTGCTGATATACGGTCAGAATCTTGGCGAGGTACAGCTTCTGTGTATATCCAAATCATCCAGATGATCAGAAGTCTTGAAACAAGAATATACATATGTGCATTTCTAAACAACTCACTGCGTTATTGATCAGAAGGACAAACTTCCCATGTTCCAAAGGATTGTCTGTGCTAACTTGACCGCCACCAAGATCGATATCTGTTGGAAAGTCGTCAACAGTTGAGGTGTTACGGATGACATCAGCTAGTCGAAGCTTTGAGGTGATATTCCAGCGATGCAATCGAGTGGTTGCTGAAGAAACAGCTTCGTGGTTCTTCATCATAACTGCCACCAATTTACTACACATGCTTGGCTTCAATTGTTCTGCTTCAGAGGCCGTGAGATTGATAGCGATGTCCGAAACCGTTCGTTTAGCTCGCTCATTTCCATGGCCTTTGGAGACCTGACTATCATGGGATTCTCGGATGCGAAGCATAGCTGTGGCATTGAGTTTGCATCCACTTTCGATCAAATCAACAAGCGCTTCCTGTGTAGCAGACTCTGATGCTTTTCGTGCAACAGTCGTGGTAGCCGATAACATGTTTGCAGCAGCTGAGAGTTCAACCAGATCAGTAGAGAGAATGAGATGTGAAAGAGATGGCCCGACTCACATTGTGGGTTCAGCAACGATGATATTCTCATTGCAGCATTCCAATACTCATCCGTTTGATGAGTATCGGGGACTGAGTCCAATATTGTATCGGCTTCTTGATGCTCACGAGTCAACTGGGCTACTGCTTCAACCACCGCAGCATCGTTCTCACCTGGAACAAAGCCATATTGGACGTCGTATGTCTTTGTTGGAGCTTGAGAGACGCCAGTGTCTTCCAAATCATCCTCGTCAGCTGAATTGAGATGGCTGGAGTCCGGAAGATCAGACTGTACAGTTTCAGTCGGGGGTGCCATACCAGCGAATTCGGCTAGACTCATAGCTCGTTTATGAGCAATAGTAAGTTCACGTGAAATCTCTTCATTTGATGGAAAGTAAGAGAGATCGGGGGTTTCTGTGACATCAGGCTCGTCTGAGAAGGCATGTTGATAGCCTGATCGACGGATTGGAGTGTTAGATAAGATATTGATACAGAAAGATTCAAGCTAATAGAGCACTTACCAGAGTGTATATGTTCTGACTGGGGCATTTCCATATTCCCGGACATGATACTTCGTATGACAGCAAAGATCTTCGGCATCATTAATCAAGCATCAAGGACTGTAAAGTTGGGGCATATTACCCTCATCCATCCGAAGATATGCTCACAAGCCTCTGTTCCATGCTTCCAAGGCATGAGAGGTGAATTCGGATAACACTCACGATGAGTTATAATGAGTGCTATTAGACTCTCTGCCATCGCACAAAAGATCTTCATACTCTGATGTGATATGAAGTTCTTTGATAAACTCATCAAGGAATCTGGTTCTTCTTGACGATCGGACAAGTATGATTGCCATCTTCTCAAGAAGAAGATAGCTGTCCACGCGGAACGAATTCGTTCTCCATGACCAATTGTCTTGTTTAGCCAGGCATCGCAAAGCTCTCCAAGGATGAAGAGGTAGATAGACAAGCCGGTGCATTTGGGTCGAGCTAGAGCTGCCTTTAAAGTATGATGATTTGTAGTTCGATATGCGCGGCCATCATCCTGTCGATCACTGTTGAGAACGTCTTTTGTGAATAAGGGCGAGTTTTCTGATTCGAGCAAAGTAACAAGGTGTTGAATGTTTACATAGTACTTCCCAAAGCATAGAAGTCGAGCTCCAGACAGTAATTGATTGGCCGCGGTTTTCCGACCATGCTTGGGATCTTGCACACATATGACTGGTAAACCCTGAGGTCCTAGTCTGGGGACCTTGACGTGTACTTTGAGTTTTTCGTTCGTGTATTCAATGAAGTTCTTTGCAAGATTTGAAAAACCGTGTTGAGCTTTGAGCTCTTCTGCAGCTCCATCCGATCCAAGAGATAGTACTTGCAACCCAGCCGTTTGAGACATCGAAATGAAGGTATCATGTTGTGTGATGAGTTCTTCGGCTGTCTCGTTTTTGTAGCTTGCGATTAATGCTACCACAAAGGTTGGAATGTTTGGTAGTGGCACTTGTATTGTATATGCTCGCACCTACAGTTGAACCGAGAGATCAACAAGGTGGTAAATGAAGCAAGTGGATTGAAAACATACCTTTGAACACAACTGTTTCTTTGAGACAATATCGTTGACAAGTTTTTCAAGTTCTTCTTTGTCCTTAAACTCTCGATCTCCACCCTCTGCCCCAACCAAGAATCCATGATGGTGACGGAGGGATTGAACACATACTGTCTGGTTGGTCGCAGCAGCAAGAGGTCCGTTATATCCAAGGTCTTTAAGGTACTTGGCAATCATTTCGAAATTGGATTGTTTAAGACCGTCTGCAAGCTGTGCTCCACTTTTGGCGCGATCGTAGCGCATAGCTCGAGACGTCTTGCCTGCGAGATGCTTGTTGAAAAGATTGAGTGCACTTGGACTCATAGCACCAATTGTCGTCAGGAAATTGTCCAGATATACGTCAATTCGCTTTCCACAAAGGCTTTTCCCATCAGCTTCTCTTTTAGCTCGATCAGCAACAGCCATCATAAGACCTCGAAGAACGTCTCGGTTTTTGAAGAGACCGGCCTTTCCATATGTACCAATAAGACTCCAGAGTTCTGAATCACCCTCCTTTGAGCACTGATTAATTGACTTTGACAATCTTCGTACTTCTTCATGTTGAAGCATGATGGAATGAAACTGGTCGGCAACCATGTATACATCGGGGATGAATTTGACATCATCTTTCTTCGCATAGGGTCGACTGATTGCGGAGAGTAATGATCGCTCGTGCTTCAATCCAAGGCATGATTTGCAGACCACATGTGACGATCCAGTGGCGCTAGGAGAATCGACCTGCCTTTCACATTTTGGCGAATGAATGGAGCCAAGGAATCCGTGTTGTTTTATCACCCATTTTGACTCAGCTTCAAGAGCTCGGTGAAGAGTTTTGCGTTGAGCATTGCTGAGTCCCTTTTCCTTGGAGGTGTTGAACAACTCTTTGCAAACAATTGACCGATGTCGAGAACCATGATAAGGAGTAGGTGAGCCGCGGATGCATTCGATGATCTTGTGCCGGGCGCCTTCACGCTTCCACGTCTCGTCCGTTAATCCTGCACATGGGACTAAGTTCTTGGTGCTTTTGTTCCGACCTCCATCAGTATCCTTGGATATTGGTCGCTTTTTTGACTCAAAGTAATTACTCAAGAGGCCTTTTTTGTTCTTAAGAGTGTTTGTGACTTTTGCACAATTGACTACAGAACCAAGCGCAAGTAGTTAGATACTGTGTAGCTATTGATTTGTGCTGAAGGAAAATAAACTACATACCTGACGCCCAGTGTCTTTCAGCAGCCTGAATTCGTCCCAATTTCAAAGTGATCGGCTTGGCCTTGCAGTGACACTGGTACACCTTGTCTGAATCCTTTTGTGTGACTACACATTGACTACACAAAGCTTCAGCGGTTGAAAGTGGGCAAGCAGCTACTACATCCTTTTGTTGCTTCTTTTGGGCTGGTTTCTTCTTCGGTGTTGGTGGATCAGAATCGGGTTGAGAGGTTGTTTTGTTCTCGAAATTTGTGTTTGGTGTGGCTATAGCCTGCGAGGACGTGGATTGTGGACAGCTCTTAATGATCTCGATATCATCCTTTTCCTCCTCACTGGAGGACTCATCATTGCTGATTGGTAGGTATTCCAAGCTGATGTCACTGTCTACATCAGAATTGGAAGGTTTTTTTTTTTGGTGAGAGTCTTCATTATCGGAACTGCTATCAATGACAATGCAGTCTTTGGAAGGTGCTGTGTAACAGGTAGGACTCATTTGCGATTATGATCAGGAAAGTTGATTAGTGGTGATTTAGGGAAAGATAATAAGCTATGAAATGAAGGAGGGTGAATGGGACGAGTGGACCCAGGCAATATTCAGGGCAGAAGTCCCATCTCCTGTGGCGCTGTCAAGCTATAGAAAGCTTGACAGCGCAGAATCAATATCTGTCTAGATCTGTCAAGACCAGGCCAAGAGAGGCTGGGACTAGCCGGGACTAGACTTATGAAACAGAGGAGAACAGGCTAGAATAGGCGCACTCAAGGCTTTCAAGGGGGTTACCTAAAAATGGCAATCAGCAATCAATTGCTACGTTTTAGGTGAGATACCTAAAACTCATGACCCATGATTGCTACGTTTTTGGTCAGATAGCTTGCCACTAATTTTTCCAAATTTCTACGTTTTTGACAGATACATCGCCAAAATCTTAGCCAAAATTGCTACGTTTTTCGACAGGCCCCTCGGTAGGAGCATTCCAGGGTCCTCCTATTCCTCGCTGTTGTGATCACAATCGATCGACTTTGATTCAACTTTGAGTTGAATCAGGACACCGTACGTCAGATATTGGAGGGTTAAGGTCAGACGTTTCGCCGTTTGGGTCGTTTACGCGGCAGTCCATTATTACAAGCTCAAGGTCTGATTTTACACGTCATGTAAACCATACAGGCCGTTTGCAAGGCCCGGTGCCTCGGTTTTATTCTCACGGGATTGTAAAAAGGCCTGTATTTATTTTTTTACAAGGCCCGGTGCCAACACCCGGCTCGCAGCGCAGACTGCGAGGCGCAGTCTGCGCCTGCGCTGTGGCTCAGCACAGGAGTTTTTGCAAATTTGGTCACTGTGCGATTTTGCAGCGCAGGGTCTGTTCGATTTTTGGCCACTGCGCGTTTTTGCAGCACAGTGGCCTCTTGCAGATGATAAAACTGTGCCCACTGCGCTTGTTCTTACATATTACATATGTATCAGCGAGATAGTTGAGAAAGGGTGAGGATTTTTTGCAATTGGTCCTTTGCTGATATTGTAATTGATTCATGGAAAATAAAAGTGACATTTGGTCATCCTTCCATTCTTACGGGCATCTTGATCGAGAAAGTAAGTCAGTTGAGTAAAAATCAATTAGCAGATTTGTGATTTCAATGGACTCTTGGCTGTGATATCAGTTTTACGTCATAATTCCAAGCTATGACTGATAAACACCTTGCTGCTCAACTTGATCACCACCAACACCCGGCGTGTTTTTACAAACACATTTGCTTCCTTGATTACCCCTTTTTATATACTGTTCTAACCATCATAGCAAGGTGCCATCATCTCTTTCCAAAATGCCCTCTAAATCCAAGAACCCAAAAGCTGTTGTACCTTCTAAGCAAAAAGCCTCTTCAAATTCTACGGTTTCAAAGCCTTCAAGTTCAAATCATAGAGCTACTACTGCTTCTCAAAATCCCGATGGAGTGACTACAACAATTGTTCTAGATGTAGACTCTGATGACGGTAATTATGTAACAGAACGGGAAATTGAAGATGAAGAAGAAGCCGGGAATTCTTTTCGAAGCACTCCGTCAAAAACAGATGGCAAAAGAACTCGTCAATCACCAACAGCCTCGAAGTCTACAGCCATTCAAAAACACAAGTCTAAGAAAGTCCGAAAGAAACAAGTATGTAACTTTTCTATTAGTACTCCGTCCTTATGTAGAGGCCGCTGACCAACAACCAACCAATCAGAATTACAAGATGCCTGACAACGTAGATGCCAATCAAGACTCTGATATTGATATTCAAACTTCAAAGTCTGATGAAAACTGTAAGTTTGATCCGATCAAAAATTATTATGGCAAGGAACTTGTGCTTGGACCGAGGCAGGTAAGCCAAGTTTTTCGTTATCATCAAAAATATTGCTTGTTTACTTTGTTTTCTGACTTAATCATTGGTTTCTTCAGAAAGAAGGTGAAGAACCCAGGTGCCGTGAATGTTTGTGGTGTGGTGACATATTCACCGATGGCGACAGGAGTCGTTGGAACCTTACTGAGCATTGAGATGGTGGAAGTAGCCGCCAGCCCTGTAAAAAAAGACAGCGGGCCATCGAAGCAGGTGAAAAGCTCCCTCTTACCTGGCAGGAGAAGAAAGCAGAGTTAGCACGAGCAGAAGCGCAGAAAGAAGTAGGAAAGAACCACACTCTGGATGCCTTTCTCGAGTTGCCTAAGTTTTTGGTCCAGTTACTCAACACAATCTTGGTTCTATGGCTCTTACGTAACTGTATTCCATGGCTACGCATGGAGGACACTTACCTTCAGGCTGCGTTTGTGCTTTGCAATCCAGCAGCAAAGCTATGGTCACCTACATGGGCAGCAAAGCAGGCAATGGCCTACTTCGAGCAATTTCACAATAAGTTAATCACCACTCTTCAAGTGAGTTTCTTTGCATTTCTATAAGTTTCTCTCAAATTGAAAATGATATACACGTTTGGGATAGGATCTATCTTCAAAAATCTGTGTCATCCATGATGTGTGGACAACGAAGGGGGGTAAGCGAGCGTTCATTGGGGTTTCTGTGTCATATATCGACAAAGACTTCAAATTTCATGTGCTCCATTTGACACTGAAGCTCATTGCATGGAATCACTACGGTGTCCTACTGGCTCAACCAGTTGGACAATTCCTGATACGACATGGGCTGCATAAAAAAATAAGTCTTCTAATTACATTATATCTGATCTTCACATTGTCTGTATCAACTCTTAAGCTTATCAATTACTCAATCTAGCACATGGTTGCACAAACAACTGATTCAGGATCAAGCAATCCAGTCTTGGCCCAAGAACTCGAAAAGATGTTCATGAATGCTGAAGATCCACATTATTGGAACTCGAGTCGCAATCAGATTAGATGTTACTGTCATAAACTGGCTCTAACAGTCAAAGCTGGCCTGGACACTATTGGCTTTGGAGTTGGTCAAACAAAACCCTTGGCACCCACTGGCAAAAGACTCCGACTTCTCTTACCGGACAGCTCCTTGCCACCACCCAAAATTGTTCTCCAAGATGGCACGGTTGTTGAAGATGATGAAGATCTGAATGAAGACAAAGAACCAGCAGATCTCAGTGATCTCAGTGAAGGTCCGACTCCTACTGATCACATTGATTATGACTCCCAAGGCGAAGACAATGACAACAGTCCAGACTACAAAGACCAAACTCCAGATGCCGACCTAGTACCCCGAGCTCTGAAAAAGGTCAGACCGTTTTGTAGTCCTCTTCATAATCCACGACAACATCAGATAAGCTTATTGGTATCGATTTGAAACAAAACCACTTGAACTTCCTATGACAGGTTCGAAGGATCAATAAGTTGATCGCCTCAAGTGCTCCTCGAATAAGCCACTTCCAGGCAACAGCTCAACAGCTATCTTATAAAGGCCCCGGATTGATTGGAGCTCACGGTCAAAGATGGAACATCTGGTATGATGCTCAAAACCGCTGCTGCCAAGCAAAACAGGTAAGCAACGACTTAATTGTAACACAGTCACGAACCATCAGCGTAATAAATGACGTACATTATGTATTTTTTATCCAGGTAATCAATTTTATGATCAATTCTGATCAAGAAGGCTATTATGAAGGTATAACCATCACTCCTGACAAATGGAAAGGCGTGGAGGCGCTGAATAAGGTCCTTGAGGTACACTATGAATTTGTTCTTTTGGTTTCAATTTGCATACATACCAACCTTTGTCATTTGTTCGAATTCAATATAGGTTTTTCTACTCTCCACCAAGAAGATGGAAGGTGACGGACCAACGGCAGGTTCGGTTTTATTTCAATACTCAACGTTGATTGGTCTCTTAACAACCATGAAAAACAAGACACCTCACTCAGCAATCTCAACAATGATTACCACAATGATTGGCCAGCTTCGACTGTACCAAACCGAGTCGTTACACTGCGACCCTGTCATCTTAGCCACCATTCTAAACCCACGTTTTCGTCTCAGCTTCTTCACTCAGAAGTATCCAACCTACGCCACCAATGCTGAACATCTGTTTTGCCAGGCTCTTTCTTCCCTTGAAGGAGTCGATCGCGATGAGAAAGATGAGGGTACTCAGGATGGTAATGCTGCTTCACCCAAATCATGTGATCCATTTGAAGAAAATGGGGCCTTTGAGGCCAGTTCAACTTTACAACTCAGCGGCGATGACGAGATCGACCAGTATCTTTCGGGAAAATTTCCGTGTAACGGTGATATCTTGGAATGGTGGCGAGTAAGTCTTTGCTTTACTCATGATTACTCAAAGAATGCAATATGCTTACTCATCGATTCTTTCAGTTCAATCAAAAGTCTTTCCCAAAACTTGCTCAGCTAGCACGAGACTATCTATGCTGTATGGGAACCTCGTGTACTGTAGAGAGGACTTTTTCCACAGCTGCTCACATATGTACAAACAGCAGGGGCGGCCTCGTTTCAAGAACAATAGAACGAGCGGTACACCACGGGGCTGATGGCACGTGACGCTCACGTGAGACATTCAAACACATGCTGTCTACATCGTCATACCCGATGTGAGTTACACCTGCCAGCCAGCATGGGCTACACCCAGTCTGGTCACGTTGCTACAATGTGATGACTCACCCGACAAGCAGGTGAGTCATCTCACCTTGTTAAGGGTGTGAGGCAGGCTGCGTGACAACCAGGGGGGAAGATTGCACACCTGTACTGTACGGAAGTTGTATTGAGCTTGTGAGCATTGGCTCATCCCAGTGCTTTCCCAGCCTCGTGATGGCTGAATAAACACACCAGTTGAATCAGGCGGGGATGTTTCCAACCTTTGCTTGCTGAGTGCACACTATAACAATGATCTGATCTTTGCATTGACAAGGACTACATGTGGTAATTATAGAAACACAAATAACATGGAGAACAGTTAGAAAACAACAAAACTAAGACTAGAACTAAAACTAAAAATAGTCTGTGAGTGAAATTTGATGATTGATTGTAGTGCTTGATAATATGATTTGATGAACTGTTTCTATTGAAGAGGATCATTGAGCAATCAGCCAATGAGTTGATCAGTGAGAGATAAAAAAATGACACAAAGAAAGACCTACAATCTACGAGATCGATCCGGGTGTACGGGGCGATAAGAACCATGAGAACAAAAAGGAAGGGCAACATTGATATCTGGTCGAGAGGAGTCATGATAAATATATGAACAAATTAACAGAAAAGTACCAAAAGGTTAGTCTTCAACTTCATTGAGATATCAGAAGATTGTTCAAGCAGGGGGAGAAGAGGACTTACAAATGAAACAAACAGTCAAAGGGTTTGATGTTAACACTTCAAACAGGAGCAAACCATGACATCAAGCTTCACAGTAAATTGAATGAGATAAATATGAAAGAATGAAAGACTGACAAATGAAATAATCGATCAAAGGACTCCAATATGAATGGAACAGAACTAGAGTCAGCAAATATGAATCTGAAAAAATGAAATTTAAAAGAGTGTTTAGATAGAAAAGAAAGACTTGAATCCAGCCAACTGGTACCTATCAGAATGATGATTTATGCAAAGAAGTCGAATGAATGAGCGCCTCCAAGACAAAGGTGATCGATGTGATGTGATGACCCATGAGTGACGAAGGACTCGAGCGTAGACTGGGGCAGTGGACAAGGTGTAACTGTGGAGTCTGTGACATGTGTCTGTGACGTCATACTTGACAGCATGTGTACCCGGTTCTGAAAATGACACCGGGCTGTGACATTTACACAGCCTGCTTTTGGAAAAGCGGCCTTCGAATTTCAGGATCACTTTGGCCAACAGCTCTTCTTGATTGTTCTTAACCATTAAGCTAGCCCCATTGGGTAAGTCTTTTCTTCTTCTTTGTCATCCAACACTCTCAACTTGATACTAATAGCCTTGTATCTCAATTGTCTTTTGATTGTCTTCTAGGGTTTCAAAGCTATCATCGCCAGTTTGTATCAAAGTAGTTGCTCTCAGCTTTCACTTCCATTCATCTATTGGGTATACATGTTGATGTTCCAGGTTGTAAGTTTTTTGTTGACTTTTATCTTATACATACCTCTTATGTCTGTGTGTGATGCAAGCAACCCGTGTTTTTTGTGTTTTGTTCTTTTTTGATAGTGTCAATAAGGCTGACATATCTTTTGATAACAAAAATGTTCTCACTGTATAGCGTAATTAGGATACTTTTGTACAATATTGATGTAATTAGCATTTACGGATTCTGTTTTCAATAGGAATCTAAAATGTTCATAATCAGTTACAGTATGAACACAAAATAACCAATTGTGGAGATGCATCAGAAAAAAGAAAAGAAAAGGATCCCAGAATTGATCAATGGGCTTTTTCTTGTTTTGTGTACTTGTCTCGATTCACTTTGTGTTTTACACACATTAAAAAAATACCCATCTGCTCAGCACCCGACGCACATTTGGATGCTAGTTGTCCAAGCTGAGTGTGTGGATGGGAGGTTGTACTGACACATGCCGGCTCACGTGCCGCCCAGGTGCTTAGGACCCAAATCAGCTTGCATGACTGGCATCCAAGTTCATTCGTGTGCTGAGCACCTGGCTTTCAGGCCACGCTCACATGCATCAGCTCACCCGCTGCTCACGGCGAGCTCATATGTAGAACGGGTGGCAAGCTGGGGTGAGGGCCTCGTAGCCGCGGTCACACTGCTGCCACCTGTTCTACACAACCACTCGGCGTGGTCATACCCAACTTACGTTTCACGTGGTCCCAGTTCAAAGTCGCCCCGTGGTGTAGGTGTGTGTCAGTGGCTCAAACAGGGCTTCTTTCCCGGTGGCGAAATTGGAAAGGCTGTTGTGTCCGTTGAAAAGCTTGCAAAGAATTTGACTCAGAAAAAGAAAGCCGAGCATTTGAGCAAGTGACTCTTTGCCTCGGTCTTCTTCAGACTAAATTATTCCAGAACTCAACCTTGTTTGCTTTCTACCAAGTTTCCTTCTATCGATCCTGCTCCTCTCTTTCTTTTATAAAATTCAATTGTTTTGTTCTCTTTGTCTGTTTTCTTTGTATGCCACTGTTGTTCTTGATTTACACACCGTTTTCTTTCCTTATACATAAGCGAGTACCTTTCACTTTTTATGCTATCCTTTACAAAGAAAAAAATTGTGTCGTGCCTCCTCGAAACGCAGTTTTTTTGCCCACGGCGCTGCACTGCACTGCGATATAGGACAGCGCAGGGGCATATCAGATTGTGGATAACTGCGCCCCAGCGCTGCACAGTGGGTTTGTTGATTTTCGAATTTTTGGGCGCAGCGCAGTTTAGCGCATTCTGCGCTGAACTGCGCTGAGGCTGGGTGTTGCCGGTGCTGATGCTCTAAGGGAGCAGTACTTCATTCCACCATCTACTCCGATTTCCATATGTAGGACTATCTAGGCAAATGCCGTCTGAGGCAGGAATGTATCAAATCCCTTCAACAACTTGAACTCAATATCTAATAATGAGCTTTTTCGCACCTATTACCAGAGTAACTGACGTTACACTCAAGCACGATTGGGCTCAAACATCGAAAGTGGCAATCTTTTCCTCAACGCTTGTATCATGGAGCCTACCACTGTTGCTAAAAGCCATATGGTCATGGGGATGTCTTCTCAGTGATGTACTCAATGAAAGGGTTAACTTTAAAACACATGGTCATAATATTTAATCAGCGGTGCGAAGCACAAGAATAAGTCAAGATGCAATAGAAAACAATTTTATGAAGAAAAGCAGATAAAACAGATAAAACAGATAAAGAAATTCAATAAGATTTGTTTACTATGTTGTGTGTGATGGTGATCAAGCAAACAGACTTATGATCATCCCAACTACAAAAGGGGTACTCAAGGCCGACAAGCTGAATCCTAAAGTGGCTGCAGCCGAGTTTGCACCTGCTGCGGCAGGGTTGTCAGATGAGGTGGTTGTATTAGGAGTGGTCGAGGTAGTATTCGCGGGTGCGATGAAGGGAGATGAACCTTTGGTGGAATTGGTGGAACTGGTAGAATTGGTGGCTGTAGTGGTGTTCTTTGTAGGTGTCGTATTCATTGATGCAGATGTATTGCTGGTAGGTGGAGTGGAAACACCAGTGGTAGTTGGCGGATTGGCAGAACTTAACGATGCAAAAGATATCTCTATTAGTAGTCAGCTTGCAGAAACTACAGGCAATGAGCACATACGTGGTGTTTGGGGTAGCTGGAGGCTGCGGAGTGGTGGGAGCAGGAGCAGGAGCAGGAGTGGAGCCGCCACCCGATAAACAGTCGGTGTTGCCGGGCTTAAAGAGGAAAGCAGCAAGTTTTTAATCAGCACAGACGTTGAGTCAAAACGAGCAAAGTTAGATTTACCTGCACTGTGACTTGCTGAGAATAGTTCAATTGTCCATTGGAATCCCTGATCCGAAGTGTTATCGACGTCCCAACAGGCTGATTAACAACCCAACGGTATGGAGATTCGGACAACACAGGGAAATCCATAAGTGAAGCAGCTGAGGGTTGGCCACCGGGAATCACCTAAGAAAGAGGAGCTGCCTTAGTCTCACGCAGAGCGATGCTTCATCATTGAATCGAAGCAAACCCACCGAGATGTAGTACGGCGGAAGGCCTTGGCCAAAACTGATGGACGAAGGGAGACATTGAGCAACACCCTGTGTAAAAGCGATTAGGTCAGAATTCAAAATGACAACTAAACTGAGAGTGGAGATAACTTCGTGATCAAACTTACTAGTGGGGTGTTAATAACAGGCGGGTCAGCAGCAACAGAGCCGAAGACGATGAAGAGAGCCCCTAAGATGGAATGGATCATAAGGCGAGCCATTGAGATCTAGTATGATGGCTGATAGTGTTGATGAAAACGACGAGGGGTGAATGTGGTTGAAGGTGAATTTATGACCGCGCAAGAAATCGAGCTAAGATAGCGATTAAAGGGGATGAAGTTCAGAGCAGAATATATGTGTAGAGATGGGTATTGTATTAAGAGATGACGAATCACGATGATGACGAGGGTGGGGATTTAAAAGAGGTCAAGCTGTTGATTGGAGCGGAAGGAGAGAAAGCAAGTCAGCGAAGAAAGGGGTTTAAATAGGTTTAAATACAATTCTTTCAATGCGCAATTCCCTCAGATGTCAAATGTCAGATTGTAAACTGATGATGGAACTGATCGAACAAATTGGGAAATTCAGTCAAACGAATTTGAATCTACGCGTAGTTTCTACTTACCTAATACAGTTGAATTCTATCTTTTGATGGATGTTTCATCTACTGTATCTAGATCAACTTCAAATTTATAGCAGTTGCACCACCAATGAAGTTGACCGATTCCAAGGTTGACCGCTTTGAGGAGCAAACCACCCATGATAGATAAATGCTAACCAGGCGTGCATTGAATCTAACGACTAATGTCAATCCTTTCTTCACTCCGCAACCTTGACCGATCATCGTAGCTGAAGCCAGCAGAGATTCGGGATGAAGTTCCAATTGCGACTGCAATTTGAGGTGCTTTCTCTTATCCAGCGCTCAGTAAACTCTAACCTCGCTGATTGAGTCATTCATATCTCCCAACTCGAAACGAGCCTCGCTGTCGCAGGTAGTGAATCTTGGAAGATCCTCGTTAACCTTTTTCTTTATCACCACATATCACGAGAGCAGTGGAGCCTACCGCGGTATCCGCGAAATCGCGGAAAATACAGTGTGTACATAGATACAGGGCCACTCTGAAACCCCAGGGTAAGGGAGCCGAGTAAGCACATTTGTTTCAAGCCGAAAGCAGATATAGCCAGAAATAAGAACGGCACCCGGCCTGAAGGTAGCCCTGAGGACTACCAAGCGGGCTTTGGGCTGCCCGATCTTGTCTGGCCTACTGTTCAAAAAAAATTGCTGCAGCGCGTGCGCTGCTCAAATTTGTACCATGAAGTTCAAAATTTTCAAATAAGATGGACATATCTGGCGCATGAATCAGCATATATTTTGATATTCAAGCTTGTTCCAATGGGCTCTACACACAAGCAACACACCAATACCAGCCCCAACTCCAACAAACACTCCCAAACCAAAGAGGCACACCTCTCGTGTTCAAAAGAAAGTACACAAATTTGAACACTTTCATCTGAAGAAGATTCTGATCACTCTAATCTTTGTATGAAAGTCACTACCACATCAACCAGCTCCAACCAATTGAAGAGTACTAGTTGAATCAACTCCAACCTTGGGCACAAAACCTTGTGGGTGTGGAGATATTTCAAGACTAAAATTGTTGTCAATCCAATCACCAACAAAGAAGAGAAGAGGACAATTTGCACCTTTGAAGTCAAGCCTGAAAAGCACTGCCAAAGCCATTATCAATCAGAGGCAACTCAGAGCACAATATCAATGAGTCAAATTTTGCAAAGCACAGCCTTGATGAAAAGTTGCATATTGAAGATGGAGCAGTGGATACAAAGAAGTACCTCAAGACAGGCAAAATTGTTAAGGTAAGTACCACAAACCTTACTAAATAGTTTTGTTTCACCTCTGACACACTTCCCTTGTGCTTCATGATAGAGTGAAAAGCTTTTGAGCTTGAGCTTCTGTTCTTGTTCAGTATCCGTACAAGGCATGTGGGAGGTTGAGCTTGTCCATGGAAGTACTGGGTCAGTAAAGAACTTGGGCTTTGGACTGACTGTGTTGCACATGACCAAGAAAGTGCTACCTGATCAAATGAACAGATCACCAGGGAGGCAAACACCATCAGGTGATCAGATATGTCAGCAAAGCTACACAGTCGGGCCCTGGAACTGTGAGACTCTCTTATCGAGAGAACTCAAAAGGAATTATATCCCTTTCCCCTTCACTCAATTGCTTCCAGACTCATGTATCTCTCCTGAAGATACAAAGCCCAACTTCTCCCCCCTTCCGCTCTCTCTAGCTCATATCACTCACAATTTTTCTTACAGCTCATTGTCAATCAAGAACTTCCATTATCTCTTGTTGAATCCAAGCAATTACAGGCTGCTTTTGAACTAGCAAATCCAACCACCCTATTCTTTGGTCATGCTATTTGACCAACACTCTCAATTCTCAATTCATTGAAGGTTAAATTTTACTGACTCATCTTCTGGAGGATTTTCCTCAAATGCGTTTTACCTATGATGGCTGGAGTCAGCACACTAGATCAATTCTTGGAGTCACAGCTTCTTGAAATATTCAATCAATGTAGAGAAAGTGAATTAGAAGATACATTAAGATACAAGAAAAATGAGAAGCACCCAAGTAGAAAAGAAATATGAAAATCATCATCAAGCAAAAGGAGACTTACATTATCAAATGATTGCCCCAATGTGGTTCAACTAACGGACTACTTATAGTAGGCATATTCAAATTTGCCCAACTTCTCTTTTCCCCATCTTTGGGAAGAGAGCTAAGTACCTCTTTACTTTGTCATCAATCTATCTATTTGATCTGTCAACCTTACAAGGATTATTGCGAAGCAATAATCCCAAGTACATTGCCAAGAATCCAAAACTACATCAAAATGTATAAATATATAAAAATATACATTTTTAGAAAATACACCTCTACACTCAGTTTCAAGAGTGCCATTCAAAAGATACCAAACTGGTTACAAATAGATCCAAAATACGAGATGATACATTTTAGCATCATTATGTTAATATTTCATTCCTTTATAACGACAGAAACCAAGAGCAGAACAAGGGACAGCTAGACCCCAAAAAAACCCTGACTAAACCAAAGCATATTGACAAGGCACAATACAATGGCTAGTTCAGGGTACAACTAAAATTAACGCCTTCTCGTTAGTTACTAAATAGAGAAATTGAACATATAAAAGATCTACCAACTCACGTTGAACAAACAAGGATTATCTTTTACATTTAACTTTCCCTATCAGGAAAAATAAAACCTTCTTATCCTTCTAGTTTGATCAAAACCCGAGTAGTTTAAAACCTCAGAATATCTTACTGTAGACTTCTTACAAACAACTTCTTGATCTTGATCAACACTTCTAGATTCACTTATTCTTTTCTCTTTACAAGTCTTGTTACAGATCATTTGGGTAGTTCCAATTGACTGACGTTCTCAATTCTTCAACTCCTTTTTTGATAAAAAGTGTTATCAAACCTCTGCTGAAGCAAGCCTGAAATATACCTAAGACTTTACACAAGGCACAATGTGTGGAGCAAGTCCATGAAGGCGTGCCCTGTGAAGACAGAGGATGATAAATAGAAGAAGGTAATAAGAATGACCTGTTAGATTATCGCCCAAAGAAGACATGTCAGATCTCTTTCAAGTGACCTCGGTCTTTCAAAAAATGTCAAGAGAGGAGTTACATCACGGTAGACTCTACGAGGGCGGTAAGACTCTTAGATGATGAGATATAGAACTCATCATTGAGTGAAATATATTCCCTTCCCTGCTCCGACTATTTCTCTTTACACCTTTCACTTCACTAATTCACTATAAGCACAACTGAAGTTATCTGTATCTTAGTTCAGGAAAGATCCCCAAGTTATTGAATAAAATAACTACCAGCTTATAAGATTGAATAATAACAATCTTTTTGTCCAACCCACCCGCCCTACAGAACAGGAGATCACAGATCTCCCGTTGGGAGACTCTGGCTCTCCCTGCTCTCGTCTTTATAAGAAAACCAGTTCCTCTACGTTAGATAGAAGGCAGGAAACCCCTTCCTTCTAACAAGGAGAACTGCGTCATCTTAGAAACTAGCCCTCTTAAATCACCAAAAGATTCAAGAGGGCTTCTAGCCCACATTAAGACCCTTTCTCGCCCAGTGACTAATCTGGGAGAGGTAGGGTCATCTCCCAGGAGATTGACGAGACACAAGATAATGGATACTTCCTGAAGTAGTCAATTTCAGAAGATTTGTCCTGTGAGTGCACATAACATCTAACTGGCAGCAGTAACCATTCTGCACCTTATACAGTAGTACTAACAATCTCTAGTTTACCTTTACAGCTCTGCTCACCAAGAATCTAAAGCTACATCTAGATTTATAGAACCATCATCTATATTTTGTGGATAGAGCTTTTGTGAGCATTAAGAATTCAACCCTAGCTTCTAAATCATCACTCATTTGAAGACTAAGGCTGACAGGATCCTATATTAATGTGACTTGGTTTCCTTTGTAATACTTGTGTCTGTTGTTTTGATTAAAGAGCTCTTTATTTCTTTTTCTCAACCAGAGATCAGTTATTGATCAGCAATAACTCACAAATACTCAAACATACACTTATATCTTTGAGTTTATATTCAGATATTGTCAGCCTGAGTCTCCAAACTGATGGCGCTCTGGAGAATTTTTTAATTGCCTTGTTAGATAAGTGTCCTAGGTGGCTTTGCTACAATATTTTAGTTTCTATCAAGACAAATTCAAGCCTTTCTTGAAAAGATGTTAGTATTTGAATAAAACTTCAAGATATTTAAAAATAACTTGTAGCACTCACAATTATGTCTGAACTAGCACGATTGGGCGGCGGGCGCCGCACCGGCATTTTTTTTCAGTGTGCCTGTACATATTTCAAGTATTGGGTGCGCTACCAGGCACACCTGGAATTTGGCACTGCTTTTTTGTGCTTGTTTTTCACACTCTAAACGACTCTATGGTGTAAATTGTACAAATGAAATTCTATTGTGCCCTAAGCAATCACATAACCCCTAACTCCTAACCCAATACACCCTATCAGTTCCTGACCAAAGAATAGGTATGGTGCTTGTGTGATTCCAGCTAAAACTCATAGTCGAAAGGTTTTAACTTGAATTGGGGAGTAGATCCCTAGTTGCAATGTAGAGGAAGACTATACAGGATAGTATCTAGGTGTACATGCAGCTGACTCAAAGGTTAATAAAAAGGTCCGCTATGGGGCGGACTAAAAAAGTATTACAAAATATCATAAAAGGGAGAGGAGCAGTGGGACAAATTTTATTAAATGAATCAACTATCAGGAAGGTGATAGGATGATTAATAAGAAGGTCTGGT